TTCCCAGTAAATAATCAAACGCAGATAGGCCAATGAGCTTAGTGACTATCTGAGGGAACGGCAAAAAATATCCAGAGGGGGCGTTTTAGAAACCGGTTCTCTCTGTCACTCAAGGGGTGGACAGTAGTGTCATATCAGCCCTCTTCCCTTCCTTCTTCCCCAGGAGCCCCCAAACTCCTTGCTACTCCGAGTCCTTGGGCTCTTTCCAATTGCCCCGTTTGTCTATGCGCCCCCACCCACTCCCTGAATTGTCCATGACATTCATCTATCTTCGCCTTTGTGTCTCACTAGGCCTTACACCCCAGGGCTGGTTTCTTATTCAGGGTTTTGAAATTCAAGAGAAAGAAATGCTCCTTTTCTTAAAAAGGGTCTCCTTCCCTCCCTCTGCCTCCCCTGAACCTCATGTGTAGAGACAGTCGGACCCTGAAGGCACAACACCCTCACCGACCAGACCAAGGACGGGCCTCGACCATTCACTAAGCGAGATCCTTGAGCAGGCTCCCGGGTTGTCAGAATCTTGGTGTCCTCATTTGGAAATTTTGAATAAACCTAACTGTGTCCTTGGATTGACAACACAAAAGGGGTAATTCACGTGAGCAGTGGCTGGCACAGTATAAGGTTCAATAGATTATATTGCTATTGTTAACTCTAAGCTTTTACCACGTTTAGTTTTCTAAGTTTTTCTGGTCTCTACCTATAAATGGTTGATGTTGAAGTTATTCTCTCTGCTTTTTAAAATGGCTTAATTTTTTTTTCCTGATGCAAGTTTTTGTTAAATCTCTGGATTCCTGGAAAGTGAGATGGACAAGATCCCAGAAGACTAGATACAATTCACCATCTTATAGTGTAGACTGCTTGGTTCTCAAAATCGCTAGGGAGGATAAACTCACCAATTTGTTTTTGTAACATTAGAGTGTTCCAAAAATTGCCCTTAATCTTATTATTGTCAATTATACTCCTTGTATTGGGCTACACAATTCTATTCTCTTAATATTAACTCAAATCTTCCATCAGTGATTTTTAAGTCCAACTGCTTAGTTCTGTCTTCCTGATATGGCCAAGCTACACAGTCCTACAGTCTCTCCTAAGTGAATTTCTAATCATATTTACCCCCCGCTTCCTCAATTCTTGGAGTCCTTTTCTGGACTGAGGCACCAATGGTAAAATGACAGGGATAACTGTGAGATCAAAATTGCACTCAGGAAACATACCTGGGAGTCAATGTCTATAATGTTTGTAGCTCGTGATTTTATCCTTAAAGTCATTATTCCACTGGCATCACATGTTAAAAACCAGGCCCAATAGCACCGTTTTTGAGAAGCAAATGAGCCTTCACAATACTTTAAGCAAACTCCAAATTAAACAAATTCAGTGTCGACTTGTTCATTTTCATTCCTCCTCTAAGAGGAAACTTAGTACTGGCTACATCATTATACTTAAGCTACATTATGCTAGATAGCAATCCAAATAAAGAAATGTAAAAATTAAATACTATAAACAGTTCTTATATTTTTTAAAAATCGTGACTATTAGGATTGGTGTATACAGCTATACATCCTTACTTATTATTAATGTATATAATTGTCTTCAAGTCTATGAATGACTGTTTCTCAAGGCATATTTCACAGTTGACAGCTACTATTTGGGGGAAAACTGCTGGCTGTTTCTGAACCAAAACGTTTGCACCATATCTTTGTATTGTGCTGCTGCAACAGAGTATCTGAGACTGGTTAATTTATGAAGAACAGAGATTTAATTTATACAGTTCCATAGGTTGGAATTTCAAAGTCAAGGGGCTACATCATCCCATGGCAGAAGGCGGGAGGGCCCCAGTGCACATGGGAGAGAGCGAGAGAGCGGAGGGAGCCGCATTCACTCTGCTCCGGAACCCGCTCCCACCGCAGCGGTGTCCTCCGCTCAGCCAGGCCAGGTCCTCGTGACCAGCCACCTCTTGGCAGTCCTGCCTCATCATACTGTCACAGGGGCAGCTGAATTTCAACTTGAATTGTGTGCCCAGCCCCCCAACACACAGGTTCTTCTCGCACACAACACACACGAATTCTATCCCAACAGCCCCGAAGCCATAACTCGTTCCAGGATCAACTCAAAATCCATCGTCCAGTGTCTCATCTGAGTCAGGTGTGGGTGAAACTGAAGGCACGACGTATCCTGAGGCAAGATTCCCTTCAGCTGAGAGCCCAGGTAATTAATCAAGTTGTCTACTTCTAAGATATATGCCAGACACAGGATAGACATTCCCATTCCAAAAGGGAAAAATAGGCAAAAAGAAAGGAGTCACAGGTCCCAAGCAAGGCTAAAACCTAAGAGGGAAAACATTCTGCCTTAAGGCTGGAGAACAATCTCCTGGGACTCCGTGCCCCACAACCCTTCCGAGGCCAGAGCCACATGTGGGCCCTTGTGAGTGGCCCGGGGCAGCCAGGAATGCTTGACAGGACGCAGGGAGCAGACACTGAGGCAGCACAGGGCAACGAAAGCTGAGGTCTGTGGCACCTCTCTGGAAACTGTGCCCCCAGGGCCCTGATCTGGGCCTGGATGAGGGGCAGCCTGAAGGATCTCCGGCATGCCCTTGGGGTCATGCCCCCATGGTCCGACGAAGAACACCTGGCTCCCTTCTCACCACACACGTCTCTCTGGCAAAAGGGTCATACTCCTGGTTTGCTCTCTCCTCAACCAGCATTTTTACTCTTGACATGGCCAGGCTGAACATTTTTTTTTCATTCTGCTTCCTTTTAAATTACAAATTCCATCTTTAAATCTCCTCTCTCCACTCACATCTCACTACATGTAGTTAAAAGCATCCGTGCAGCTCCTTCAATGTTTTGCTTAGAAATTCCTTTCACTGGACATCTTTGTCCATCACTTGTTTTTTCCTTCAGTTTATGCTTGTGTATTGTTGCAACATTTTGTTTTAACATCAAACACTGCACCAAAACATGAGCCAAGCATCTCAAGACAAGTGTCTTTACCATGAGAGTACTGTACTAATGTTTACAGTTAATTTTGGACAACTTAAAACTTATTAATGACATTGTTGTCTAATAATCCAATAATTCATCATAGCTGAACACGATTATTAAATTAAAAGAGTAAAGTTTCCCCTCCCCTACTTGCTTTCAAACCAAACCAAGCCAAAAGTAGTTTTCACCTGGAAAGAGCACTTGAAGGAAAACTCAATTTTTAACCAGTTTTATTAAGCCCAGGATGATACCTATAAAACTCCCTGAGGTCTGTTTTCCCCACCTCGTGTAAGGTAGAAGGGCTGACTTTCGATGTTTCTTCTGTCGAAGGTCCTGCCTGCACCTTGAGAGCAAGCCACGGCAATGCCCTGCGGTGACAGGTCAAGGGCGGCTCAGGGGCACAGCACGGCCCAGGCTACTAGTCGGCTTTGCTTCTCTGCTGTTCCCCCTAGCTTTCATTTTAGAACACCACACTCGTCAACTTCTTTGTTCAGGCGAAAACTGCGCAGATGTTTTTAAACAAAGCAAAACAGTACTCAAACGCGGAAGCAGCCGATATATTCCAGGTCCGCGCAAGCGCCTCGCACAGTTCATCATTTTCAAATCCCACCTTCCATAAGCCCAAGGTCATGGACACATCACAGTCAAGTTCTTTGCCACTCTGTAACCAAGATGGCCTTTACTCCAGTTTCCAGTACCTTGTTCCTCAGTTCTGTGACCTCATCAGAGGTCTTCACCATCCATATTTCTACCAACATTCTGATCATAACCACTTAAGTACTGAAGTCTCTAGGAAGTTTCAGAGTTTCCCTGCAGTGACCCTCTTCCGAGCTGTCGCCAGAATCACTCTGAACACTAGGTTCACAGCAATACAGACGTTTTCCAGCCTTCACTTCAGAACTGTGCCAGCCACTACACACTACCCAGTTCCAAAGCTATTTCCACATTTTCAGGTATTTGTTACACCGAGAGCCCAGCTTTTTGGTGCCAAATTTCTATCTTAATTCATTCTGTGCTGCTATAACAGAATACCAGAGACTGAATAATTTACAGACAACAGAGCTTTATTTCTTTTGACAGTTCTGGAGCCTGGCAAGTCCAAGGCCAGGGTGAGGGCTTTTTTGTTGTGTCTTCTCATAGTGGAAGGGCATGAGAATACATGTGAGCCCATTCCTAGACAACAGCATTGACCCACTCACGAGGGTTAAGCCCTCAAGGTGCAACCACTTCTTAACAGTTCCGCTGTCTCAACAGCAGTCAAATTTCAACAAGAGTTTCAGAGGGGACACTCAGGCCACCACACACCAAATTCAGTGGCAGTCACAAGACTCTGAAGCATATCCTCCAAGGATATTCCCCTAGGATTTTCAAACTGCAACTGCCCTTAAAAAAGTTTCTCCTGCACTGACTTTTGGAAGACTGTCTTATTGCTTTAATTACTTTAAGCTTAAAATAATTTAACACCTCACCTAACTACCATTTGTGGTAGTTTTCTTTTTACCCTTTCCACTATGTTATTGCCAGAGTTGCTTATGTTGGTAATTTTTATCTTTCTTGTGTCATTTTCCTAAAGGATATATACTTGTCTACAATTCCCTTGGATTTCTTAGGGTTAGTCCTCTTTTTTTTTCTTCTTTATTTTAAAGATGTGGGGTACAATTCAGGGTTAGGCATACAGACGTGAGGGCTAGCACTCTTTAGGACATCTGCATCGGGCCTGTCCCAGGGTCCTGGGGTGCACTCTATTTAGATCCCCTGAGAGGTATCAGGAATGCTAACGGGAATTGAATAGTGAGCAGTTGTACGTTTCTGCCTACACATGCATTTCCTGCTTGCTGCTAAAGTCACATGATGCATGCTTCTTTGTGATTCATTCATTCATTTTCGTTTCCTGCGTTGCTGTGAAATAGAGAAGTGTGATTTGGGTTTCCGAAGTGCCTTACTGGTGCTGTAACTGGCAAAAAGTCATCACTCTTCTAGACATTTGTAAAAGCTCTATTCCTGGTGGTTTTGTGAGCTTACCTTGTCTGACAGCCAGTGTAGTGGTATAGACCAAGAAGAGGAGAATGTAATTGAGGAAGCTCTGGAAGACGGGTGTGTTGGCATGGAAATCTTCTGTCAGGTACTTGCTAGTCAAGCCAATTCCACAAATAAGGAGTGATAACACCTGGCCCAGGGCCACAGAGATTAACATCTCCCTAAGAAATAAAGAGAAACAAAGATCACCAGTGAGTCCATTAAAACAATATCGTTAAAATGTATTGAGCACAGGTACATGTAGTGGGTTAAGTGTAATAAATATTTCTTTTACTCCCTCACAGCAATCCTTTGAGGAAGGGTCAATCATTATTTGAGATTCTATAGCAGAGGAAACCACAACTAGAGGAGTTAAGGGACTTGTTCACAGTCCTAGGACCAGGAAGTGGCAAAACAGGGATCTGAGACCAGACTTCTCCGAGGGAACCTGGGGAGGGGGGTGAGCATCATCTTGATGCCCCCTACTCGGTATTAACTAAATACTGAGTGACACTGAGAAAGCCCCTCAACACTGGCCGGGAGGGACCACATTCTGGCCTCATCCCAGGTTCTTTTTCCCATAAAGACAGCTTCTTTTCTTTATAAAACGAAATCCTGGATCCAAAGGCACTTAGGCGAGAGGGTTGCCGAAACCTCTGAAAATCAGGACCATCTCTTGCCCATTCCCAGACTTTGGAACTCAGTTTGTTCTAGGAAGCTTTAACATGCATTGGGTCTCTGGGCTCTTCTGCTCAAGATATAACGCCTACACATTAAAACACATCAAGTTATTCATGGAGGAGAGTCAATATTGTGGTGGCATAATGAATAAATAAAACTTTTTCAAATTATGCAAAGATTTTGTAGCTTTTTCATAGGCACTGCCCCTGTAGACCTTTGTAGCGGAGACTAGAGGCAAGGGTCAAGTCATTCATTTTGCAAACAAATAAAATGCCCAAACAAGTTTTACGGACACACACACACACACACACACACACACACACACACACACACACGCTCTGACACAGGAAAAGCTCCTGGAAATACAAAGCAAATTTGTGTTCTCCCTGGAAGTCTCATCTGACTTTCTGATTTATTTATAGGAACAGCAATATAAAATAAGCAAAGAGTAATATTTTTAACAATTTTATTTTAAATTGACAGAGTTGCACATGTTAACGAGATACAGTGTGATGGTTCGGTACATGTACAAATTGTATGATGCTCAAAGCAGCATAACTGGCATATCCATTATCTCAAACATTTATCATTTCTTTGTGGTGAGCACACTCAACATTCTCTTCTAGCTATTTGAAACGTATAATATGTTGTCAACTATTTCGCCCTACTTTTCAATAGCAGTGTTATTTCTACACAAAAAAGCTTTAGACAAAGGATTTGTGGTGTTACTTATTTCCTCCCCCGTCACACAGGTGAGTCCATTTTTCTGGAAGGAGCACAAACTCCTGGGCAGGACTTCAGGGGAATTTTACTTTAAAAATTAAAGGGATCGGTTACATGTTGTTCATTCCATCTGCTTCCATGAGGAGGAAGAATTGTGGCAAGGCATGTGGGCCCCCAAGAACACTTGGCTGAAGTTAACCTGTTTCTAGGTGCTGGCTCCTGACCTTTAAATTCAGTCTCGATAACGGAGTCAGATGGTGCCAGCCTGTGCTACATGCAGCAGAGGTGAACCATCCCGAGGTTGCTGCCCAGTTGAAGAACTGTGAGAAATGACATGCACTGTGGTCTTCAGGCCTGCACTTCAGACCTGGCTGCTGCAGGGCACCGGGAGTCGCTTTCCCGCCTCTCCGCCTCCTCCTGAGGGGCGACCTTCTGCTTCCCCCACGTTTCCTCCATGGGGCCAGAGATTCAGCCTCACCGAGTGGCCGCTCTTCAACAGTGAGGCGTGGTCTTCTTCGCCTGCATCCCTTGCACGCGCTTTTGTCTCCCGAGGTTCACAGCGTTTTGCCCGAGGGCCCACGCCTCTTTCTGGACTTGGCTCACAGACCCTCCCCTTTGAGAAGTGTCCTGTGACTCTCTCATTGTACAGTAGCTGACGCCTTCACACCTCTTTTGCCGCTGCCGGACTGTGACCGTATACGATGTTCTTCACTGTAGCTGCAGCTGGGCAATATCACTCAGAGGGGTCAGAAGACCGAGGAGTCCAGCGCCGTGGCAACACTGGGCGGGGTATTAGAATAAAAGCATGGCGTAAAAAGAAGTGCCAGAATTAACTCAAAGGTTTTCAAGGTGCCTAAGTGAAGTGTGTAAGTTAACTGATGCTTAGAGAGTTTAAGCCACCAGTCCAAGGCCACAGAGCAACAAGTGAAGAGTTTGCAGGGAAACTAGGTTCTACGCTTCCGAATCCCAGCTACTTCATTACTATACGATGCTCTACTACAATTATGCTGCCAAAACAAACAAAAAATCTAAAAAAATGCAACTTGCCTTCATAGAGTGCATGGTGGCACTCTGCAAAAACCTAAGAACTTGGAAACCTAAATGGTTGGCTTCCAGAAACATTCTGGAGAAGGTAAAGATTTTTTTAAAGAGTCCTCCAGACTGACCCTCTGGTAAAAACTCTTCCATCAAGATACCTGTCATGCGTGACTTTCAACAAGAGGTCCTCTCAAGCCTATTCCTGTTTCTTCAGTCAAACAAAACAGCAAATCTGTGTTCAATCTCTGCTTTTAATTAGTGGCCATGTCATTCAGTTGCTGCTGGTGTGATTTGATAGAGAACGCAAATTATGGTTTTATTGCTCATGCTAATGAACAGGAGGTGCAAAGCAGGAAGGAATGGAAGGAACCTTTTAACAGATTAGTTCAGGAGTCTTTTCCGACTGCAGGGAGCTAGATATTGTGGCTACTGCAGCTTGAGCATCTGACCTAGTTATGAGAGTCACCAAAGCAACATGACTAGGTAAATAAAAGTAAAGATAAAGCTAAACACCTAAATGTTGACATTGCTAACTATGTCCCCTGCCCTGCCGTCTTGCCCCCATCAAATTCTTTGCTTTCTATCAGCACAGGATAAATCCATTTGATGTGTTGCACGGAAATGCTCTCCCTACTCTCTCTGCTTTAGGATCTCTTTAGTTCATTTACCGTCACCCTGTCCCTCCTCAGCATTTTTTTCTTAGGCAACCGTGGCAGTAGATCTGTGTGTTCTTCACCTAATGGCTCCTCGTGGCTTTAAGGAATCACCTTCTTCAGGGAGCCGAGCCGGTCCTCGCTCCCAAAGCCCAGTTGAGTGTCCTATGTTCCCCCTGGCAATGTCCCCATCTCTACTTGCACTCACCATACTGTGTAGCTCATGAGTTCCTGAAATTAATTATTTTTATTTACTGTGTTCCTGTGTCTTTAGGACTGCTGGACATAAAGGAAACACACAGAATGAATGAATGAACAAAGTTGTGAGTGAACAAATGTCTGTCAATGAGAAGGACAAAGGCTTGGAGTTGAAGGATGCCTGCATATCTCCTCTCAGAAAAACCACTAGCTCTTAAAGACAGAAACAACATTGTTTCTACTGTATTCCATCTGCCAGTTAGACACTGAGATTAACAAGTTATTTTCTCGTGTGTTTCTGAACAAGCCTGGTAAGGTGCTATCTTGCAAAGATGATGCTAAATATGGTGCTGGGTGAAATTTTGCAGAGCGAGCTGCAGGTTATTCACGTAGTGTGTACAATAGCACACCAGATGCAGTCCAACATAAGACACAGAGTTCTTATAGTTCTAGTAGCAGAAATGGAGAGGAGGCTTTGATACACATTTTCATTTTCTTTGTTTATGCATTTAAAAGGACATCCTACTCACTTTAAATTCAGAATGACTAGACAATGAAAAATGCATGAGTCTCAAGGAAAATAGTGCTGCTAGAAGCTGAATACCTGTCACGGCAGGGCTTGTAGTCATAAAGACTGGCATGACTATTACTACCGGCACTTGGTTCTGGCAAAGAAACAGACATTAGAATTTCGAGAATAAACTTGGGTTACAAATTAATATGCAAAATAATAAGATTTAAAACAGAGCATAAACGGAATCCTGTTTTTTTCTCTTAGTTATAAGAATACATTCCTTCAAAAGAATAGCAACACAGTGTTACATAGTCATTTTGCTTTGTAATTATTTGGCATGATACTGAAATGACGATGTTATCATCTTGAATTAGAGCATCCACGTTTCTGAGGAGACAGCTTCATTCCGATGACTGTTCTTAGGCTAGTCATGTCAGAGCCAAGTCAGCATATGAATTCAGATATGCATACATAAAGGACACGAAAGTATACTGCCTGGGCTGAAATCAATACCACTTGAATATGGGAGAAACATATTTTTCCATGCTCTTTGATGAGATTCTTGTTTCACAAAACTAGGCCACTGACTTCTATAAGCTCTTTGCTGAAAGACTTTTCTAAAAATTGCATTCGAGCATTAATTAGACTGCGTGTAAGAAGATTATTAGGCAAGAAGCAAATACAGAGACAACATTCACTGGGGCTTCTTGACCTCATATTCTGGATTCATGGAACTGAATCTCGTATTTGGCTTGTGGCAACCACCTTGCTTCTCTTCTGAGGTAGGAGAAACCAAGTCGGACGCCAGGAAGCTGTCCTAAGCAGGACGTTGTACTGCGCCTGTGAGGCACTGCCTGGAGGCGACTGGACTCCGTGTGAGAGCAGGGGCCGCCACGCTCGCGGGTGCTACGTGTCACGTCGAGAGAAGCGGCAGGGGAGACCGAAAAGCGCCATGTAGGAGCTGGAGCCTCTGGCTCTAGGAGTGCCCCTAATTAAACTCCATGACTTTGGGTAGCCCCATTCAGGGCCTGGACTTCTTCCCAGAAAATAAGGACACCGTGAGTGGTGAGTGTACGACACTGCTCATCTTCCCCTTCAGGTCCTTTGGGTCTCACCTGCTCCAGGGTGTCTGACCACTCACTCCAGCTTCAGCGGTGGCTGCCACGATCAACAGCGTCTAAACCACAGCCAACATCATGCAGGCACAGCCCGGGGGGCCTGATGCCCAAGCTGGGTAGCCCCTGCCTTCTTCCCTGGGGATGCTCAGCGGATACTGACAGCCAGAGCTCCAGGGAATCTTCTTGGTGCCCTCTCAGGAGCGACTGGAAGGGGCAGGGGAATGCTTGCACTTGACCAGTAAGAAACTCCAGCAGA